ACACACACACACACACACACACACACACAGACAGACAGACAGGTGGACAGACAGGTGGACAGGTACTCAGCGAGACTCCGTTCAGGATGATGCCGGACACCGCCATCCCACTCAGAAACCTAAAAATGCAGTAGGCGGAGTATGAAGGAGAGAGGGCGGAGCTACAGCCAAGGATGGCGAGCTGCAGGTACGACCAAATAAGGACAGACCGCCGTCCAAACCTGAGACAAACACAGACTGTGATTGGTTTGATTCTGAGGACACCTGGGACGGACTGAAACATGGACACATTCATAGAGACATGACTACTTAAGCTGATTGGCTCTTAAACGGTCACACGTCTGGAACAGGTGAGTCTTACCTGTCTGAGAGACCGCCATAGATGATGGCGCCTGCCAGAACTCCGCCCATGTAGATGGTCTGAATCATCTGTTTCAGAGGACGCAGGGAACACACCAGGTCCCACTGACAGAGACAGACAGAGACAATGTCATCTCATTGACCCCATGACATCATCAACCTCACGACATTATCGGCCTCAGTGTTTCTCCCCATTACCTCGGACACAGTCGTGGCGAGGAACTCTGAGCTGTCGAATGTCCATCCATCCAGACATTCTTCTGTCTGTATCTGGCTGACGTTCCCTGGGCTGGTGGTTAACAGCTGCCACTGAGGCTCCACATACCTGAACAGGTGGAACAGGGAGTGATGTCACAGGAAGCTTATTCATCAATACTCTGCAAAACAAGAAAAACCTTCACCTGCGGCAGCGATCAAGTTTTGTTCCTGACGAGTCCATTGGGATGAAAACTTTCAGAAGCTGCTGCTGATCCACCTGAAACACCAACCAATCAGATTCATCTACCCACTGTGACACCAACCAATCAGATTCATTTACCCACTGTGACACCAACCAATGAGATTCTCCAAAAGTAGATCAGGAGCCAGAGCCTTCAGCTATCAGGCTCCTCTCCTGTGGAATCATCTTCCTGTTACGGTCCGGGAGGCAGACACCG